AGGGAGACTGACTCTGACTCAAACAAACAAACAAACAAAAACCAAAAACAACCTAAAAGCAAAGTAAAAACTTCCCACCTTATCCCATGAACCACTGTGTCTTTTTGGGTACCCAGATATTAATACTATTTCAGGCTCCAAACTTAAAAGTCTTAAATATTATGGATGTATATCTTTTTATCTGAGGACTGTTATCTGGAGGAATAGCTACAGGTCTTTGAGAAAGCAACATATGATACAGCCTGAGAATTCTTGCAGTGAATTTTCAATTTCTTTCTTAAGAAATCTTAAGATTCCCTTCAGTCATTGAACTCTGCTTTTCTGAATTGGCTGTCCTCAGAATTGACTGAGTGTTTTTAATTTTCAACAACAAAAGCTGACCTCAGGAATCAGATTTATTCAACTCTTTTCCTTTCTTGGTTTATAATTATTTAGCAAAGTATGAAGCCTCTTCAACTATTAGCCTATCAAACCATTTCAATAAGGCTGTTGTCACCATTTCATTAAACCTGACATTCGTAAGATCACTAACGAGTGTGTGTTGCCAGTGGTTAGTCTACATGTTGCATGCTCTATCAGCAGCATTGACCATAGTTCACTTGCATTCCAGGATTTTGCCCTCTCCTGATTTTATCCTTGTCCACTGGACACCACTTCTCAGTCTCCTTTGTTAGTTCTTCCTCTTGTCTCTAAACTGAAAATATCACACTGTCCAAGGTCTCAAATCTTCAGACTTTAAACAATCATGCTGGTTTTGCTGGTGATCTTATGTAGCCTCCTTACTGATAATGTAGCCAAATGGTTCAAAAGAGACAAATAAGGCTGATTATTCGTATGTGTTCATATATATAATTTATTTATGTACATCTATTTAAATATATCTATGTAAACCTTTTTTCTTCAAATGTCAGTTATATTTAAAAATAACATGACCAAAAATCTAGGGAGAAGGTGGGAGGATCAATAATGTTTTCACTTGAGTTTCTACCTATTCAGAGTGATAGTAACTTAGTATTTAGTTTAGTTTAAAATGGCAATATAGAAATTGATATGCAGGTGATCATCATTATAGACATAATGATCTAAGCAAAAAAATACATAGAAGAATGGTTGATTAACCGATTTTGGTTTCTTGCATTTGGTACAGTTGGTGTCTCAGTATCTCAGTATTCATAGTTCTTAAATTTTTGCTCTATGATCAATTAATTATGAGTTAATTTTTGTGTATGGTATGAAATAAGGGTCTAAATTAATGTTTTTCTATCTCTTTGTAGTCTTACTTTTTAGGTGAGTTCATCTGGTCATGGCTTTACTTTCTGCATGCTGATGATGTCAACATTTAATCCTTTAGCTCAGACCCAACCCTGATCTCTGGAATCCTTTCTTTAATAGCCTACTTGACATCTTCATTTGAATGTCTAACAAGAACTTGAACTAACTTGTCCAAACCAAATTATTCATCTTCCTTTCCATCCCCAAATCCGTTTTTCCTACAGTCTTTCCTTCTGTTAATGAGCACTTTAGACTTTCAGATTCTTAGACAAAAAACATGGAGTCAATATTTTCTCTTTCACATCTCATCTCAGCAAATTTTATAGACTCTATCTTCAAAAACAAAGAATCTAATCCCTTGTCATCACTTCTGCCACACTTGTTTAAACTACTACATTATCTTGCCAGGATAATTGCCATCAACTCCTAATTATTTTTTCCAGTTCTCCATGTATCCCTATGTATTCTCAAGGTAGCAGCTGGAGAAAATCTGTTGAAATGCAAATTTGATCATGCGATTTTTCTGCTCCAGATTTTTCAGTGATTTCTCATCTCATTCAGAGTAAGACCAAAAGCCTTATAAAGTCCTGTAATCATCTGAGTTATCTGATTTTGCTTACCTGTCTGTTCTAAAATGCCTGGCTCATTCCATGCTAGTCCAAGAATTGCCTCAGGGGCTTCATACTTGTGTCCCTTCTTTTTGAAATGCTCTTTCTCAGAAATCAACACTAAACACCATCACTCCTCAAACATCACTGAATCATTGCAGCCTCCTTGATTTGATTTTTGTGTATGTTGATAAATAGGCATCTAGTTTCTTTTTTCTACACGTGGATACCCTGTTTTCCTAGCACCATTTTGTGAACAGACTGTCCTTTCCCTAGTGTATGTTCTTGGCACCTTTGTCAAAAATGAGTTTACTATAGGTGTGGATTTGTTTGTTGGTTCTCTATTTTGTTTCACTGCTCTATGTGTCTGTTTTTTATGCCAGTACCATTCTGTTTTGGTTACTATAGCTTTGTAGTATAATTTGAAGCCAGGTAATATGATTTCTCCAGTTTTGTTCTTTTTGCTCAGGATAACTTTGGCTATTTTGAGCATTCATATATTTTTAAAAGCCATTAAACCTCTGACAAGGTAACTAAAACCAGTTAAGATACATATGTCACAAGATATCAAAGACCAATAGAAAATCTACAAAGCAGGTAGAGGAAAAAGATTATGTATAAAGGAATAAAGGTCTAAATGACAATCTGATTTATAACAGACAAAATCGAGGCTAAAATTTAATGCAGTCAATGCAATCGTCTTCTGTGTGCTTCATAACCATAGCGGACTTTAATAAATAAAAATTCAAAAGAATATTTTTTAGATAAAAGGAAAATTACTAAAAATATAAAGCTGAACATGCATGAAGGAATAAAAAATAATAGAAGTGGTAAATACATACATAGTGCTAAATAAATTTTGACTGTATAAAATGATGGTGTCTTATTGGGTTAAATATATAATTAATAAGATATAGAGAAATAGCTATATATAGGCTCTAAAGGTAAAAAAAAAGAAAATTTAGTGAATTTATATTTGAAATTTTCTATGTCTATGAAGAGAATTCGAAAGCCATATTTGATGAACCTCTAATTCCCTTCCTAGGTATATATCCCAAGGTAATGAATCAAATAATATGTGAAAAATGGTCATACTAGAATTATTCATAACTGTTCAAAAAAGAAAACCCCCAAATATATATCAACTAAGGATGAATTAATTATCATAATACATCTATACAATGGAATGATATAAAGAAGTGAAGAGAAATGAATCACATAAACATGCATCCATCTGACTAATTTTAGAAACACAAAGTTGAGTCTAAGAAGCTATGAACATGAACATACAGCACTACACCTATATGTGGTTTAAAGCAGGCAAAACCATGCTATAGCATTTAGGGTTGCATATCTAGTTGTTAATGTATAAAGAAAATCAAGAAAATGATCATCCTAATTTATGGCTATTGCTTTCCTCAGTATATGTGAAGAAGGGTGTAGGGGCTTAGAGAACAGTGGAGGCAGACCTAGCCTATTTGCAATGTGACATGTTTTGCCCTGCATCATGGTTGCATGAGTGTTTATGATACATTGCTGTGTTTACCATTTTTGTTTTCACCCATTTCTAAGTGTGCATTATAATTGTGTTTAAAAATTATTAACTGGAGAAGTGTTCCATAAAGATTATTAATTGTTCTGCTCATTATACACCTTACAAAAAATTCACGATGTAGACATTTATATACAACTCCACGAGGGTTGAAGTAGGAACTTTATTTCTGCAACATGAGGAAATTTGAGATGATGCTACCTGCAGCACACAGATCTTTCCAAAGATTTTCTACTACCTTTATTTATCTACCTCACTCACATGACAAAACTTTGCCACTCCTCATCTATTTTTCCTTTGGCTCCTGAATTCCTGACAAAACATGGGTGAACATATTTCCCCACACTCTTGTTTTAGCATAGTACCTATGTCAGTTAGGTTTTTCAACTAAAGAAATCCCTACAAAACTACATTAGATATTTTTATCTCGTATATCTTTGTATTCAGTTTTTCTAAGCTGAGTTTGGTGGATGGCTCTGGTGACTTGAGATGGGCCAAGTTCTGCATCTAGAGTTTGGCCAATCCAGGCTGGATTAGGCAAAGGCAAACTGATTTCATGAGTTTTTTATCCTCATCCTGGGAACAGTTTACTAGCCAGGAGATAATCTCATGGTCAGTGGAAAAGAGCAGGAAGCTCCAATGTGGAAGCCATCTCTAACATCTGTGTGAAGTCTCCCAATTTTCTGTTCATTGGAGAAAGTTTGTGAGTAAGCCATGAGTCCAGGGTATAGGTAATCACTCTGCTTGTGGTGGGAGGATACTGCAAGATTATTATGTCAAAGGGTGTGGTAGTCAGGAATATGTACAAAATTGTTGAACAATTTAATTAAATAATAAATATTTAAACATTAATTAGACTTAAGAGGAAGTTTACCACATTCTTAAGCATGAGAGAAATATTTGATGTTTTATACTTTTTTTTTTTTTTTTTGGTGGGGTTCTAAAACCCTCAATGGAAAATAGGACTAATTTTATGTGGATGCCCTCCAGGAAACTTATATCTCACTTTGGAAAGCATAAGAAAATAATCCCTTAGGGGTGTGAGAGTAGATCTCTCTCTCTCTCTCTCTCTCTCTCTCTCTCTGTGTGTGTGTGTTAAAATTCACTTGGGATGGCTGGCAAAATATTAAATATTACAACGGAGGTTTCTAGTTAACACACTTGCGGATAATTAACATGGTTAAAAGAGTGGTTTTACGATTGATAAAACCTTTAGATTTGGGGCCTAGAGTAAACACTATTAGCCAGTAGTTCGCCTTTGATTTCCCCCTGAGAGGACCATCCAGCACCAAATTTACATGAGTAAACCATTAGAGTAGAGAAAAGGAATGTGAGGTAAACAGACTTAAACTGGGAAAGCCTTTTATTGTTTCTATTTCTTTCTTATGCTAATGTAAATGAGGTGGCTACCTTCAGCCTGTTCCAATGAAAACTTTTGGCCTTCCAAAAGGTTAGAGTTACAATTTATAACTTTTCCTAATATTTAATATGTTTCCAGCCACCCAAAGTGAATTTTAACGTGTGTGTATTTATTTATGAGCATAGTAACAATAAATTCTTACAAAAGTGTCAGTTAGCAGCAACCAGATATTAAGTTGTATTAGTCTTCTTCTGATTCCCAGAAAAGGATGATTTTGATTTATAAGTTTGGATTCTGTCTGTTTAAATCTAGCATAAATAGTAAAGCCATTATGGTGATGATCCTAGTTATGACTAAGTTGTCTTGAAGAATTTAGACATTTACTGTATGAACTATGGACTGGGTGGTAAAATTTACCTATCTAACAACTGAAGTTGCTGAACACAAATTATATATAGGTTAAACAAGGAAAACATTGCAAAACATTGAAAGGGAATATGTCTTTATTTGCGTGCTGGCAAATGAATATTTAGGTTTCACTTCAACTTCATTATGAATAATTCAAGCCTGTCACCGGAATGGACATTGAATGAAGGAGTTAATTTAAGCTATTTTGAAAATAAGAATGTTTTCCATAAAGACAAAAACAAACTCATCCATTAGCATTAGCTGGTGCTCTCTTATTTGACATTGGTCAGAGTATTTAAAAGTAAAAAGAATGTTACTGCACATTCAGAAATCAGGTGCACATAAAATTTAAGGTCAGGGTATTAAAGAAATCACAACCAGTGATATTAGGCTTGGATTTTCTTTCTTTTTTTCTATTCAGACATGATAACTTTTCTACTCATTTTTTTTTCAATTCTAATATTGATTTTATTTGTTCTTGGAAATTTTGCCAATGGCTTCATAGCACTGGTAAATTTCATTGACTGGGTCAAGAAAAAAAAGATCTCCTCAGCTGACCAAATTCTCACTGCTCTAGCAGTCTCCAGAGTTGGTTTGCTCTGGACTTTATTACTAAACTGGTATTTAACTGTGTTGAATCCAGCTTTTTATAGTGTAGAATTAAGAATTGCTTCTTATAATGCCTGGGTAGTAACAAACCATTTCAGCATGTGGCTTGCTACTAGCCTCAGCATATTTTATTTGCTCAAGATTGCCAGTTTCTCCAACCTTATTTTTCTTCACCTGAAAAGGAGACTTAACAGTGTCATTCTGGTGATACTTTTGGGGGCTTTGTTATTTTTGGTTTGTCATCTTCTTGTGGTAAACATGGATGAGAGTATGTGGACAGAAGAATATGAAGGAAACATGACTGGGAAGATCAAACTGAGGAATGTAATACACCTTTCATATATGACTGTAACTACTCTATGGAGCTTCATACCCTTTGCTCTGTCCCTGATGTCTTTTCTGATGCTAATCTGTTCACTGTGTAAACATCTCAAGAGGATGCAGCTCCACGGCAAAGGATCTCAAGATCTTAGCACCAAGATCCACATAAAAGCTTTACAAACTGTGATTTCCTTCCTCTTGTTGTGGGTCATTTCCTTTCTATTCCTAATCATTTCAATTTGGAGTCCTAGGAAGCTGGAGAATGAAACAGTTCTCATGGTTGGCAAGACTTTTGGATATATATATCTTTCATTCGACTCATTCATCCTAATTTGGAGAAGCAAGAAGTTAAAACACACATTTCTTTTGATTTTATGTCATGTTAGGTGCTGAGTAAAAGAACTGAAACTACGAACTCTCTAGATTCATAAGTGGGACATTTTGTGTGTCTTCTAGGAGAAAACAAACTGATAGTGTCTGGAACATTTTATACTTTCTACTGGATTTTTGGTAGTGTATGTATTGGAGTAATTTCTGAAAGCTTACATAGAAGTCTTTTACCTAAAGCTAGTCTAAAAAGTATCTGTATATGTGTTTGTATGTGTATATGAAACACTTAAAAGGTATTGACAATAACATAATCATATTTTCACAAGCTGCCAAATTATAGAAAATATAGTCGGAAATTCCTCAAAACCATGAAGCCATATGTATTTCACTTTATCATATTTCATTTGAAAATTTATTATCTTTATAATTGTTAAGAACTGACACCATATCTCAGAAAATCATTGCTCTTTTACACTGTGGTTTGTACCACACCTATGTACCAAAGTGTGCTTAAAGATCTAATTTTTTTAATAGTAAGGACGCTCAATTCTAAATCAATAATGAGGTTTTATCTTTGGAGTAGTTTTCATTCCATCATGAATTCTAATTTAATGTTTAGTTTAAAGACAATATGTTGTTAGATAAAGATGGGCAGAATAACACTGAAGGGTTACAAATATATTTAGAACACATTTTGTATATTTCTACCATAAACAGTACTGAGAAATATTAGATTTAATACAAATATGTGAACCATTGAGGAAAAAGTCATTTCTATAATAGGAATGAAGAAAGAAACACAATGATGACCTTTTCAGTGCTGTCATAAGTCTCAACATACAGTTAGAAAAGTCATTGCTTCTAGTTTTTGAGTTAAAGAAAACCTTTTTTGTAGTTGGGATGTGATATCAAGCATTTTAGGTTTTTTTTTTTTCTAAAGCACCTCAGAGCCACTGAATTGCCAATTATCTCCTCTGTCTTCGATACTTGAAATTCCGTTTAAACTTCACACACACACAAAAAACTTGACTCTTTCCTATCTTAAAAATACTCCATATAAAAAGTGTAGAAATTATAAAAAATCATTTGAATTAAACTTTTTGCAAATGTTAAAACGGCATCCATGAAATCTATGTATTAATGATAGAGAATGTCTTAAACATTTGTTTTATTATAATCTTATTGCAAATAATGCAATGAGAGAAAGTGTGTTGATATACTCAGTAATAGCAAGTTTTATTATAGGAAGAAATCATATAACATCATTAAACAAGTAAATTCTACAGACTGTATCAATTCTTGGGGTTATGAAATTTTAACAGTGTTATCTAAACCTTGGGATAAATCATCTCTACATCTGATCTGGTTATTTGTTTGCTTATCATATATCTTTCCTGGTACAATGTAAGCACCATAAAAGCAGAGATCCTACAGATCTTGCTTACTGTTGACTCTCAGGACCTAAAAGGCACCACATAGAATAGGTATTCAAAAATATTTTGATGAACAAATAAATTGGTGAATAGAGAAGTGAACTAACTATACTGGAGTGGTAAACCAATGAAAGTGAAACTTCATCACAAAATTTAAAGTTACATGAATTTTTCTTTTCTGGTTTCAACTTGAGGTTACAGGATTATCTAAGAAGAAGCAATTCTAGGGGAGCAAAAGTGTGGCTATTCTATGATCGTAAGGGAAATACCACTGTAATGTAGCCCTGAGGAAGACACATTAGGTGTGTGATGGGAAGATAAGGTGGAACATCAATCAGATGGTACATACTGTGATACATTTTAAAATGCATATAAATTCATATGCTTTTTAAAAAGCATATACATATAAAAGATTTTTGTATATTTGCATATAATTTTTCAATTGTGAGTAATATATTTGTATTCTGATATTTCTAGCTGGTTACTCTATAAACAAAATGGCATTTCATTAAAAAAGCTGAGTTAGTTACCAACTACCTTACTAAAATATAATGTTTATATAATATTTTAACACCCTTTCTAAATAAACATTCAAATTGCCATATTATGAACTGACAGAAGCATGCAAAAATATTAATTATACATCTCATGAACTTCACAGCCTTATAAGTTAGAACTAGAGCCAATGTCTGATATTAAAGTGATGACGTTTATTTGGAAGGTAAGCCCAGGGCAGCAACGGCCGGGACGTGTGGAAATTGAGTTAAGAGTGGGTGTGAAATTATGTGTTGTGATGTATGATATGACTCTGCTGATGACCACTTCACAATGAGGTGAGAGAGACAGCATGGTGGTCATCAGATGCATACACTTGGCTCCTAGTACTTTTCCAGAAGGGCTGCAAGGGGGAGCTACAGTCAGCATTAGTCCATGGAAGAGAGAGAGGAGGGAGAATGAATCTGCTCAGCTGTCTTCCATCTTTGATTTCCCATTGACCGGGGTGTACCTGAGGCAGAACTCGCAACTCTGCTGTTCTGCCTTCCATCAGGCTCCAGTCCCTTGGTGGTGGTTATGAGAGTCAGGTCTCATGCCCACAGAATGGTGATCCATTCAAGTCCCAAATGGAAGGGTGATCTGGATCAAACAAGATGCTGACCAAGAGAAGAGAAGACAGTCAAGATAATCTGAGTAAGCACATGTATTTGTGTACAATACCGCCCACCCCTTGTGCCACTCAGATTTGATTATGACCTCCAATCATGGCTGGCTTTGTGGGCATATGACTTTCACAGTTGCACAGGGCCATACTTAGAAGCACCTATGCTTAGAGGGGCTTTATGCTTGTATTAATCTTCTGCACTTGCTGTTTTGTTTTGCAAACAGAAGGTACTCCTCTGCTGGAGAAGGAATGGCCTTGCACTGATTCCCTAGGAGTTTGCTCTCCCCTCTCCTATGGGCTTGTGAGAGACATGCAGAGAGTCCTATAATGTCTGCTATGCATGCCGTGGCAGCTTTGAATTGTACTGCATCATCTGGCACTATCAGCTTCGGTCAGACCCTATATCTGCTGTAGACTCCTTTTTTGTTCTGGGTTCCACTTGAGACAAGTAGCCTTTGCAAACTCCTTCAGTAAGTCGGAGAAATATCCTCAAATGTAGAATGTGTTGACTCCAAAACCCCAGTAGGTCCCCAAAACACTGTGCTTCCCTTTTGGTGATAGGAAATATATATAGGGCAACATGACATTTACTTTAAAAAGGATGTTTTGACAAAAGAACTAAAAGCATTGGACCCCTGAAAACCTTACCTACGTTGTAGGTCTTTGAATCTGTTGAGGTTTATCTCTCTTCTTCCAATATTTTACTTCTGTTCAATGTTACAGTATTTTACTATACTTAAGGAACTGGCCACTTCCTGCTTATGGGTACCAATTTATGTAACATTATTAATATATTGAATTAACATGATGTTTTGCAAAATGTCAATTAAACTGAAAATAGAAGTGACAAAGCCCTGACATAAAACAGTGAAGCAGTGTTCTCGTTTTTGCCACACCAATGCAAATTGTTTTGATTTCCCCCCAGGATGATTAAAAAACACTCACCAAATCAAAAGCCACATACAAAGTGCTGGAAACCACATTCTGCTCAGTGAGGTATCACGTCCTAGAGCAAATGTGCAAGTATGACTTAAGTTTATGCTAATGTGCATTCATCCTATAATCCATCTGGTTTTGACAGGGGCCAGTTAGGTTAACTGAATAAAGATATAAAATGGACCACCATCCCCTGGAACTTTTGAGTTTTTTGTTATGGCAGTGACCAATTCTGTTTCCTAGAGAACGCAGTTATGTTTTATTCATGTTATTGCCAGGAGAGTAGAGTTTCAGAAGCCTCCCCTTGGTCTTGCTTACAGTGTCCCTTGGCATACAGGTCAGGAAGCAACATGAGAGTCCTGCCAGTGGTTGAACCTTTCGATTTCAATTACACTTTCAGGAAGAGGTAACTATGATAAATCCATTAGATCCCCTTTTGGTTGGACATAAGCCAAAGCACTATATATTATCTGACCTTCAAAAACTCATACTCCAGTCTTGTTAAAGTGGCTCATATCTGTAATCCAAATAATTTAGGAGGCCAAAGTGGGAAGGTCACTTGAGGCCAAGAGTTTCAGAACAGCCTAGGCAATATAGCAAGTATCTGTCTGTATGAAGGGAAAAAAATTAGCTGTTTGTGGTAGTGTGTGCCTGTAGTTACAGCTACCCAGAAGACTCGGGCAGGAGGATTGCTTTAGCCCAGAAATTCGAGTTTACAGTAAGCTATGATCCTGTCATTGCATTCCAGCCTGGGTAACCAAGCAAGATCTTGTCTCTAAAAAGAAACAAACAAAAACCTGAAAATGGCCAGGCGCGTTGGCTTACACCTGCAACCTCAGCACGTTGGGAGGCCTAGGTGTTCAGATCACTTGAGATCAGGACTTCAAGATCAGCCTGGCCAACATGGTGAAACCCCGCCTCTACTAAAAATGCAAAAAAAATCTGGGCCTGGTGGCATGCACCTATAATCCCAGCTATTTGGGAGGCTGAGGCATGAGAACCACCTTATCCATGAGGTGGAGGTTGCAGTGAGCCGAGATCACACCACTGCACTCCAACCTGGGTGATAGAGTGAGACTCTGCCTCAAAAAACAAAACAAAACAAACAAAACAAAAAAATCCAAAGTAAAAGCTTACGTCTTTATTCCGTGGACCAGATATTAGTGTTAGTTCAGGCTCCAAACTTAAAAGTCTTTCAGGTAATATGGATGTGTGTCTTTTTCTCTGAGGACTGATATCTGGGGAATAGCTACAGGTCTTTGAGAAAGCAACATGTGATACAGCCTGAGTATTCTTGCAGTGAATTTTCAATGTCCTTCAAGAGACCTTAACATTCCCTTCAGTCATTAAACTCTGCTTCTCTGAGCTGGCTCAGTCCTGAGAACTGGCTGAGGGTTTTTGATTTTCAACATCAAAAGCCTACCCCGGGAATCAGCTTTATTCAACTCTTTTCCCGTCTTGGTTTATAATTATTTAGCAAAGTATGAAGCCTTTTCAACTATTGACCTATGAATCCATTTCAATAAGACTTTTGTCACCATTTCATTGAATCTGACCACCAGTGAATGTGTGTTGCCAATGGTTAGTCTTCATGTTGCATGCTCTATCAGCAGCATTGAACATAGTTTATTTACATTTCAGGATGCTGCTCGCTCCTGATTTTATCTTTATCTGCTGGGCGGTACTGAGGGAATGTATTCTCTGCCCGTGTCCACAGGGGGCATAGTTTTGCAAGAATGTCCCAGCGCCATACCTCCACCCATGTCTCCATCCGGTAGACTAGAGGTCTTTGGCTTTCATGTACCGGGGGAAACAAATCAAAGATCAGTCACTCCAGTGGAAGTTTAAAGGAACCCCTTTCATAGGACAGAAAATTTGAATGGGGCGGGAATTAGTCCCCTTCCCCCACATGGTGCGGACTCCATTTCTGGATCCCGTTCCATGACATCATAGGAGCTGCTCTCTCTCTCTTTCACTGTTTCTCTCCCTGCCTAAATAAATCACTTTCTGAAAAACTCTTTGGGGGCCATATTTACGTAAATGAGCCACCACACCAGAATAGGTCCTCTCCCCTATTCTTGGGTGAGTGAGGGACCAAGAGCCTGGAAGAACACATCCTATCCAGGAGCTGAGCCTCCCCTGTGTCCTGCAACCCAGTCTCATTACTTCTCAGTCTCCTTTGCTAGTTCTTCTTCTTGTCTCTAAATTGAAAATAT